TACATTCCACCAAACAAGGACTCATCATTTTCTTCCTATGAAAATGCGATCTGCATTACCAAACAGAAAGAAAACTCAAATCTTTGATCTTAATGGCTATACTCATATTAGCTCCGAGTTGTGCACTCAACTCAATGAGTCACAGTTCCGAGTCCTATGTGCCATATGGAAAAAGGAAAAAACATCTTTTTGATCAAAAGCATTGTTGAAAAAGCATTTTCCTATCCCACATTGTCCAATAGAGAGAGAGAGGCATTGTTTTAGAGAGAGAACAATTATTTCATAGCTCCCCTCTAATAACTTTTTCTCTATAGTTTGATACAGATCCAAATAACTGCTCGGAATATAGAATCGTCAATCACATTGTTCCAGTTCCAGTTCGAGGAGGGGCATTGTATTAGAGAGAGAGAAAGAGAGGGAGCATTGTTTGTGATACCTTTCCAATGGCTTCAAACAGAGAAGCATTGAAGGAAGCCGCCGTCAAGATGACCTGAGGGAAGCTGGTGGCGCCGGGAACCACATTCGAAAACTTAGTCCCGGGACCGACATAGGACACGCCGTGCAAGGCCTCCGACCACCACTCATACTTGGGAATCCCCAGCCGACTCACACTTCCGGCGTTGTTAATCAGAAACCCGATCTTCTCCTGCAGTGTCAGCCGCTTCACCAAATCCTCAACTCTTGATTTGAAATCGAGCGACGAGTCGCAGAAGCCGAACCCCACCACGGCCGGATTGGTCCCGACATCGCAGGCGAAGGCCGGCGCCGACTGGCCGGAGCTCCGGCGAGGAGACAGAGAAATAATGAGAAAGAAGAAGGATAGTGCCAAAACAGAGAGCTTGGGTGCTCTGTTTTGAAGGGCCATGGCGAGCTGGATTTTGGCTGCCATGGAAGTGAGTGAGCTGAAATGGAAAAGAGGAGAAACAAAAGGGGTATCTTCTATGGACATGCAATGAACAATATTTTATAGGGAAAGAGATGGGGAAATTATGGATGCGCCAAAATGAAAACACGTTTTCCCTTAGCAACCCGTGATGGATAATTGGAAAGATGAAAAAAAAAGAAATAGAGAGAAAAGACTTTTTTTAGTGAGTTTTTTAATCGTGAATATATATGCAAACCAGTTGAGCTAAGGAAGAAAATTGTTAAATTCTGGTTTTGGACCAATTTAACACTCAGGTCTTTATAGTTTTAAAATTTTTATTATTGACCATACCAAAACATTATTGTCAATTGTCATTCAAGGTTAACCATTTTCTTATAAGAAAACATTGACTTACATATGTATTATTTATTTAAAAGATAAGTAGATCCTACTAATATTTTTCAGTCAAGAAAAATAATTCATATCAAAAAGGATGACAGAAATATGTGTAGATAAATATTGTTCGTTCAATGTACTAATTTTCTCTAAAGAAAATAATTTACCTAAGAAAGTTATGATTATTCGTTACAGAACTCAAAATTTTAAGTTGATGGATTAGGACGAATTTAATCACCAAATTAAACTATAAGAACTAAATCAAATTAAAGTAGAACAACTCCAAAGGACTAGAATGTAATTTAACCAAAGAAGAAAAGGAAAAGGTAAAAGTTTTAGGTTTTGGATTGGTTGTTTGGGGAAAAGGGATTCAAGTGGGAATCTAATTTAATGGAACAAAATTGAAAAAAAAAATACTTTCTTTTTTCTTTTCTTCTTATTCACATTTTCTTTCTACTTTTTATTTGGCAGCTCTGTTTTTGTAGGCCATTTAATACTTCAATTGCAGGTTTCATTTGTATTTAGAGAACTGCTTCCAAACATGTCAAAAGCGGTAAGCACTTTTTTCTGTTTATCAAAAAATAAAAGAAAAAAAAAATGGAGCACCTTTTTTTTAAGTAAATCTTCCTTTTAAAAATTGGGTATTTAATCCAAAAGTCTTCTAAATTGATTTTTCAATATATTTAAAATTAAAAAAAATGTCCTTACACCTTATTGGTAGTGTTTTTGTATAGTTATCAATAATTTTAAGATATTAAAAGATTGTTTCCCAGAGGAACACACTATTTATGTCTTTGCTTGTCGTTTATTTTTCTTTTTAAAATTTTGATTTTAACTGAATTTAAAATTAGAATTTGTTTTTCTTAAAAAGTTTTTTTTAAACAGTTTTTCCAGTAAAAATCATTTTTTTTTTCACATAAAACAATCAATAAATTCTCTTAAAGATACAATAAATAAATCAAACCGGTTTGGTTTGCAAATCATCTTATCCTAATTAATGTTTTTTTAGGAAGTGGTCCTAAAAAATTACCAACCACCTAATTTTCAAGATTTTGTAATTAATTTTAAAAAAATAAAGAATATAAATCAATTATTACTAATCAAATTTATTTAAATAGAATAGAATACCAACCGGCCATACTCTTAGATATTGTGACTTACTAAAACTTTAATATAGAATTTTATTAATATAATTTTAATATAGAAGATGAGTAATAATGATTTAATAAAAGAGAAGTCGTGTTTTATACAATGTAGTACGTACCAAATACCATCAAATATTGAGATTATACCGAAATCTTTTAGTTAGAATTTTATAGTGTAATAATAAGCATATATCTTGAAAAATTTTACTCCCATGGTAAAAAGAGGTATATTTACCAATTTACCGTAGCTAATTGTAAAGTAATGTGTCAAAAAGTCAAAAGACAATTTGTACTATATTAGTGGAAGTACTTTCCTTGCACCCATCCCTATCTTTTGAATGGCAATATGATGGGTTGGTGAGCTACTATTGTTAGAGTATTAAATTTTTGTAACATGTTAATATTTTGATGGATATTTCACATGATAGGTAGGTTTGGAATTTCTTTATTGAAAATGGTTAAATGTTTATTTATTAACTTAAATATATTTTTAATCAATTTCTTGATTTTTCCAGAGATATTTATGGCATTTTCATCCATATTTCTATAAAAAATTGAGACATTAATATTTTTGTAGCTCTCTCTTTTAAAAAAAAAAATTATCAATTTAGAATTAGACATGATCTAAGTATGCCTAGGCACTCATACTAATGCAAATCTCTTAGGTACATGCGTATGATTTAGACTTTTAGCTTTAGTTTATTTTGATCTATATATTTTGATCTACAAAATTTTAACACAAACTTTATACATAATGAAAACCTTTTAATATAAATTTTATTGGTAAATTTTAAGAAATTTAATAAACGAATTATCACGTTAAAATTTTGATCAAAATAAATAAGATAAAAAGGAAAAACAAAAGGACCAAAATGGTCACTTTTTTTAAAGTACAAAGATGATCCAAACAAATGTTTCGAAAAATATAGAGACTAAAATGAGTCAAAGAGATTAGAAGTATAAAACGTAAAACAACCCTGACGAGTCTTCTTGGTGCCAAGTTATTTCTGAAAAAAACAATCAACAATTTAAAGTTTAAGTTAATTAAATTATAAAAGAAATAAGATTATTGGAGAACAGGTTGGGGATAAAGTTAAAAGAGGGGCAGGGATTTGAGAAATTTGGGTGCATATGAATCATGAAAAATGTCTTCTGACGAAGGAAGTTCACGTGAGAGATTTTAAAGACAGATGTTTGGGGCTATCACTTCAATGTGTGCTATGCAACATATAAAGCCAATTTCACTGAGTTAATGCCACAAACACACACAACCAAAACCCAAACTCCCAACCAACAACCTCAACTTGACCTCGACTCTCACCAGTTGAATGTTCAAATCACTGTTCTACCACCTACGTACACTTATAGTATATGGTAATAATGTAGGAGCGTAGAGCAATATACATGAGTGAAACAATAGCCTGACACTACGTTATAATGAGAGAGATTTGAAGACTGTGCAAGTTTGGTCGGAAAAGAGTTAAACAATCGATGTCTACTATTTATTGTGAAACATATTGAAGAGAGCCTGATCTATAAGAGAAGGAGGTGGAGGCAAGCTATCTCACATCTAAGCTACGGTTGTTTCAAGTTAAGAAATATAAAATACTTATTTATTAATTTGAATAAATAAATAAATATAACCTCAACCTTTTAAATCCTTTTCAATCAATTCAAGAGTTTGAGTTGGGGGTTGGGTCACACAGCTTGTAAAATTGTGACTTTTTTTTTTTTTTTGGGTGTTTGGAAAAAGTGGATAGGTGAGGTGAATCGTGTGAATTACAATAGCTCTAGAGAGAGAAACAGAAAATTGAAAGGGATTAGGAACTGTTTGGCTGTCAAACATTAATGTGTTTTTTCCTTTTCCTTGTTCTCCATTCATGTGACGGAACTAGAAAGAGACCGATAACAGGCAATATGAACTTAGATCAGCGGTAATTGACATTTATTTTTTATCAAGGAGTCATGAGTTCGAATTCCCGATTCTATTTATTGTACTAAAAATAAAAGTCGAAGAAAATGTCTAATGTCTTTTCTTTTCTCTTTTTGAAAATATTGATGTTGAATGATATTTCTAAAAATTTACAAGTAAAAAATTATTAATATTAACACCGTATTTTTAATATTATATTGATATATTTTATATTTAAACGGTTTTTTTCTCGTCGATGGACAGAAATTTAATACTCTTGGAAATAGAAACACATCAATCAAATAAATATATCCAAATGAAACTTTATGTTAAAATATGAGACATAAAACATTACAAAAAGGATTTAGAATTGAAGAAATTAGGAGGCTTCCTTGAGTTTCCTCAATTCTTTGTAGTGTAATGCTTAAAGATGGAGACAAATTAAATCCCCTTTGGGCCTTGCCTAATTGGCTTTTGTAGGCCCCATAGCTTAGCTGCCTCCACTAGAATTCATTTTCAAGTTGCTTTGTGGCAACTCAAATTCCTTCAATCATTTTTTCTATCTCTTCATTCATTTTCTATTAAAAAAACAAAATAAAAAAGAGATATAACCCATTACTCTCACTCTCTCTCTCTCTATATATATAAGAAATAGATACATTTGAATCTTCCTTTCGAGGTATATTTTCAAGAATAATATTTAGGTGTTTATTGGTTAATATGTATTTTCTTACATATGACAGTTAAAAAATTGATGGCTATATATTTATTTTTTTGAATTGTTTTAATTTCTTTTCTCTTTACTTTATTTATTTATTTAGTTAGTACAACAAGTGGGTAGACAGATTAACTCCCACCTCTTTTTCGTTTATGATATAATATTCAAGAAATAATAAACGAAAAATAGAGATGCAAAAAGATCATTTTTTACTTTCTAATCAAGTATATAACTCACTGATTCAATTTTAACTTTTAACGTTTTAATTTTATAAAACCAAACACTAAATTTAAATAAGCGTTGCAATTAATATCTCTTTAAATTTAAATTAGAAAATTATTCATGAACCAACTAATAAACCCTAAAAAGTTTAACTAATAAAACACTCAACTCATAACCTTAAGAAAAAATAGAAACTTAACTGAATGGGAGTATTTCCTATACATTAAAAAAAAAAAAACTAATACAGAATACTATATTGGAAAAATTTAAGTTTAAAGTTAAAATTCACTTACTTACCTAAGTACTTGGATAAAGATTGAACTTTTATTTTAAAAAATTATTTTATATATTTAATAGAATATTAAATTGGATTAAAAAGACTCCAAGAATTTATGAGTTTTTATTATCTAATAATATCTTCAAAGTTACAGTTAAATCCAATCACTATTAGAGCTATAACATTATAATTTAATTGCAACAAGTTAAATAATTTAAGATGTAATTACACAATTAAAAATTAAACCAACTTCAATGGTTGAAGACTTTTTATATCTTCTAGTTTTTTTAGAAATGTTTATGGTAAATTTTACACATTAGACTTTTATACATATTACTTTTTTTGGTTAAAATTATACATCTTTATATTTTAAAAATTGTATAATTTCTTGAAACAAACTTTTATTGTAATATTAACAAAAATATTTGCATCGTCAAATCGAGTATAGCTCAAGTCAAGTTGATTAAGGCACCTATCTCTGACCAAAGATTGAGTTATAAAAAAGAAAAAATGAAAATATTTGCATCTTTAATCAGGAACTTCTCGTCTATAATCATTTCAATATTTAGTTTATTCATTTTCTGTTTTCATA